ACAACAGGTAAAAATGAAAAATTAAAACGGGAAACTTGTAGTCAACCAAACTGGGATATTCCCTTATTTAATACAACGTTTCGACTCTAATTTTTGGGTGCTTATCAAGTGATACCAACACGGAAAAAAAAGATTTGCTATGACAATCAAAAACCCTGCTAGTCTAGCAAATTTACCGCCGTAATATACGGACAGCCAGTTTGCTATGTTGCAGTAATCAAATCGCAAAGCTGCATAGGATTAGTAATTATATCTAATAAAATTTCATGTTACAGCACGGTAGATTTGTTAGTAGAGCAAAGATGATTCTTTACTACAACCAATGGAAAAAACAGCTTGGTACATGTAACTAATTTTTGTGCTGTTACATAAAAGAAAATTAGGTGCATTAATAAATCCTAGTATAGCAAAATTATTAGTTACGCCAACAATTAAAATTAGGTAAAGTAATGCTCATTAAAACATTTACTCTGCCATTATTATTGTGGCGATCGCAATATGCGATACTTGCCCTGGCTTCCACGCCTCCCTTTATACCCTACGAGACTGAATTTTGATTACGAGTTTTGGCCGATACCATGCGCGGCCTAGCGGCGGTCGGCGAACTACTTAGAGGCTGGCACTAGCTACGTCTCGCACTTAGCGAAAATGATTTGTTGCAGTAACTAAGATAATTTCAACAAAAATCGATTTGTTTTATGAACAAAGTAACGATTGCTCTTACACACGACTTCTTTGCTGCATTAGCAAATTTACTTCTTTAAAACGTTTAATTTTGTTCAGCAAACTATAGATTTGCTGAATCAACTAAATCAGTTTTTTCCGTGAAGGGCCAGTTTCACAAACGTCGGTTAACTGTTAACCAGAGTTCAGTCAACTCCCTATCTTTTTCTATCTTATTATGTAAGAAGAGACAGATAATTAATTAAGCTGAGGTTAGTAGTTAACCGACGTTTGTGAAACTGGTCCTAAGTGAGTCAACGTTGTCTACAAGACAGTCAAATTATAAAAGTACAAGTACACGTGAACACTGTGGATGCTGGGCGAACAGTTCATGTATTTTTATAATTTGACTCTGTCTTATGGACGACGTTGACTCACTTAGGTCCAGTTTCACAAACGTCGGTTGACTGTTAACCAGAGTTCAGTCGACTTCCTATCTTTCTCTATCTTGTTATCCAAGAAGAGACAGAGGATCAATTAACCATGGGTTAGCGGTTAAACGACGTTTGTGAAACTGGCCCTTAGTATCACTTGATAAGGACCCAAAAATTAGGGTCGAAACGTTGTATTAAATAAATAAAGGAATATGCCAGTTTGGTTGACCACAAGTTTCCTGTTTTAATTTTTAATCATTACTGGTGACAATAAGCAACTTCTTTCTTCGTAAAAATTAAAAGTTGTCGAAATTAACACGAGCGCAACGACAAATAACAAATTACGAATGACAAACTACGAATCACGAGTCGCGCATAGTCTGGCGCTAGCTTCACAAAGTCACCGTTTTTCCCCCGCACTATCGTTCGCTTCCGCGAAGTAATACGTAATGATAGCAGTATCGCGGGAGCGGTAAAATCCCCCCCCCCCCCGTATACAATCCGCGTCGTCGAGCAAACGGCAGATAAGAGATTCGAATTAATAGCCGCGTCTAAAAACTGATGCCGCGGTGCAAATACCTCGCCGCGGTTTCTCGTCGCGATTTATGAAGCGGGGGTACGCAAAGAACGTTCACGATGTTAGCTCGGTAACGTACACTACATCCATTACAATGTCCCCGTGTCCCTGTGGTCGCGGTAGACACCGAGTGCACGTGCACGCACACGCGCACCCGTCCGGCGGCGTCGCACATGGTTTAGCACGTACGTTCACTTACGCGCTGGAAGTATGTCGAGGGTCGTATATATTTGAATAATATTGCGTGTGTCCACACCGGGCCGAATATCCGTGTACGAGCGATATTTATGATTTAGTTGGTAACATTATGCCGGGACCACGGCATCTCACTTTCTAATTGCAGAAGAAGAGCGTTATTCACGAGCGAGAGTCGTTTAATCTACGCGAAATGTTAATTAAATACAAGCCGCGAGTGAAAACATGCCAATAAGTCACACGGACCGGCCTGTAAACTCGCTACGCCTATTAAGAAAAAAGCAACTTAATATCTTTATGCCGCGCGCCGAGAAACGGTTGACCCGTCGGCGGGGGTCTCGTTATATCACAATGCACCGAGTTTATTCGCACGCGCGGATTACCGTCGCCGGGGCCTCGAGGAGATAAGAGGATCAAGGCATCCAGCTTTAATCGAATTTCAGGTGGAATTAGCGGAATAATCCGTCAAGTTATATGACTTATCCGTATTTTTGCTACGCCGAACCGAGTTCTCGGGGTCTCTCGGCTTACGACTTTAAGCAAAACCGCGGCGGAGCGCTCGCAGCTGGCCCGTCTTCAACGTCGCGCTAATCGAACGCATCCGACTTAATTGACGCGAGATCAAGCGGGAGATTTAGCCGCGATTAATCGCGGCGTGTACGACCGCCGCTCGTTACTGTTATCATCGACATGCGAGGGAATTCGTGCGGATCGTAATTAATTTTACACCCGGGGTACATCGGAGAACGCGATCAACTCGTCAAAAGTATATCGTGCCGGGATAATCATATCTGTATAATTTATCGCAGTCGCGCCGTTCTGAGTTTTAGAACGGGTCATCTGGAGAAACTGAATTCGCCCAACAATCAAGTCGCATGACGGACTGTCCGCGGCGTCGTTTTAATCCAAATCGTTATTCATTCGCGATTCTACGCGGGAGCCAATTCCGATGGTAATCTAGCTAATCTTGCGTGACCCTTTTTGCCATTATCATTCGCTCGCACATGATCGCCAGCATCGACACGCAAGCGCGCGACCGTGTACATCATAATTAATTATACTCGAAACGCATCGGGGGTTTATCGTCGATCGTAACGAGACGAGGTTGTGTCGACAATTTAAACTCGATCGGAAGCGAGCGGAGGAACGATGATTTATCGTTGTATTTACTCCACTTCGGATTAATGAATTTCGGTGAGTTTAATGATCCGTCGCGCCCGTCGTAAAACTTTCCAAGTGGCGCCGATTCCTAAGTCCCGTCCGCGCGGGTCGCGCGTGAAAATTTAACTCGCGAAGGTGACGCGAACGGCCACGCGAACGCGACTCGATCGAGACAGCCTTTCAAAAGTCCGCTCGAGGATTTTAGTGGGTAAATCGCCATGCCGAATCACTTGCCCGCCGTAATTGCGATTACTCGACTCGCGATTGCTCCGAATTCGCGTATCCGGGCGGGACTATCAAATCGCGTGTCCATCGACACGCGATGATAGCCGTGTACGCCGTGATTAATTTTAACTACAAGCATTGAGTGCCTGTTGGTAGCGATAGAGCCGAAGCGATGATCTAGATCGATGATCCGGACGACACCAGCGGAAGTGTCTATGCACACGACCTACGGATGATCGATGCGCGTATCCCTTTTCACCTAGCGTTTCGGATCTCGCCGGAATAACTATTATTTGCCTAAACGGTCTTCGCTACATACCAAGGTAATGCATCAAACGATTAAACGCGTTAGAGCTCCCATGCTAGATTGGGAAAATCTGCATTTAGGTTTTCTATCCAGTGTCACGGGGGATAATTTATTGTTCCGTGATTTATGCCGGCGTATCGCCCGAGGTCACGCGCAACAGTTCCAAGTCGTTTATCCTGCAGTTTTCTTGCCGACGCGCAATATGACGCGAACTTTTAACGTCAAATTAGCGCGCCATTATCGTACGTTAATTACTAAGTCACCGACAGTCGGTCGTGTTTTCACCGTCACGACGCGTCACAAAGTTCGCGCTGCGTCGCGAGATACATAGTTTGAAATAACTATTCAGAGCGGAAAATATACACACGATGGGTATTATAAATCATGTTATTTAACGGTTAATCATGATGCTTCGCAAATCCTGCCTCCTTTCCGTAAGTTGTTTGCGCGCTGGGGCAAGGTATGCCGATCATCGTTATCGCCGCCGATGCGTTTTCCTATCTCGTACCCATTCAGGAAATGTCATAAACTTTTAACGATCGTATGCTGAAACCGTATGCTACCGAGTCTTCCCCCGACAATCATTAAAGTCACGCAAGTTTGCATAGACATCCTGTTCCCTCGCGATTCACTGACCGGAGACTCGCGGAAACAAGCGGTATCGTCTACAATTTCGTTCGGGGGAAAAAAAGAAATGACCTGGATGCAGTCTCGAATCTACAGTTGACTCAAATCTCGACTGATCCTCGTTATAAAATTAATTACGAAATTTCACTAATTGTAAGATACAATTAAAATTGATGTTAATAGTTAAATTAGTAAAAGAATAATAGGGGCAATGTGAGCCGTCGCCTGAACGAGGATGATAAATTATCAATTAGATTATTATAGAGAGTGTCTCTTTCGCTCGTGTGTTGTATTAACAAATTATAATTATTAGAAGGCCACGTTAACGAGCATTTGAAAAAAACAATATACTTTATTCTTCAGGTTAAAATAGACGTTTCGGCTGTACTGAGCCTTCTTCAGTATATAAAATTAAGTTTGAATACAAATAATTTAACGCATTGTCAGCGGTGGATTTCTGCAATTGGATCAACTTGTTTCTAACGCGGTGTCATGTAAGTTCCCTCGATCCGATGTATACTCGTTGGTTGACGAGAATAAATTGGTCCTAGGTTCTAAGAGATTTCCCATGTGAATCTTTTTTTAAACGATATATGCGTGCTATTTTTGTGTAGCTTACCTCTTCCCGAATTGAAGATTTAAGCGCTGCTATTGATTCCGTTGTTCACCTCTCGAAATCTGGCTTTGACTGGTTTCACGCAGTGTTACAGAGGTCGAGAGGTAGACAAAGGCCGTGATACATAACAATTTTGTAAATAGTCCATAGATTTCGTCAAGGATAATAAAAGGAATAAATTAAAATTTCATATCGTCATTTGTTATTAAGTTTGTCTATTAGGTCAAAGTAAGAGTCGTCCAGCAATTCAGTGTCAGTTTGTGAATGTATACCGTTAGTCTGTTGTTTGATATGTATCATTTCACTTATAAGTCTTTTGTTCCAATTTCGTTCAACGTCCAAGATTAATGTGTTGTCCCAGTCAAATTCATGTTTGTAATTGATAATGTGTTCCGATACCACTGAGTGTTTTGAAGGGTCCAGTCTTTGATTATATTTATGCTCTTTGATTCTGGTTTCTAATTTCCTTTTCGTTTGGCCAACACATGACGCTTCACAATCTTTGCAGTTGATTCTGTAGATGACATTACTATTCTCCAATTTTTTATTTTTATCCTTATGTACCTTGACGAATTTTTCCAGTTTATTTAGGCAATGGTATCCTATTCTGAATTTGGATTTGTCAATTAACGATTCGACTTTTTCTGAAATTCCATTGATGTATGGAATGACTATAAAATTATTTGATTTTTCCGGATTGTTATTCGTGCTTGTATTTGCATCTTCTTCTTTAACGTTCATAAGTTTTTTTATTCTTTTATTAATCTTTTCAAATACCAAATTCAGTGGATAGCCATTCTCCAACAATACTCTGATGGCGAACTCTATGTTTTTTTGGTGAAACATAGGGTGTGACAACATTATGGCCCTGTCGACCAAACTGTATATTGTTCCAATTTTGTGGCAGTCCGGGTGGTTAGAAAAGTAGGATAGAAGTCTGCCTGAGAAGGTTTCTTTGTGGTACCAATCAATGTAGATTCTATTATCTATGATGACAAGTGAGAGATCTAAAAAGCTAAGTTTTCGTTTGTTTTCATATTCTATGGTAAACTGTAGCCTGTTATGGTAGTTGTTGAATTTTGTTAGTATTTCATTTGTTCTGTCGACAGGGGCCACCATAATGATGTCATCAACATATCTGTAGTATATCGCTGGTTTTATATCTAACGAGTTCAGTATATTTTCCTCTAGATCCTGCATAACAATGTCTGCTATTATGGGAGAGAGTGGCGATCCCATTGATGTTCCGTACGTTTGTTTGTAACATATGTGATCGTAAGTAAAATATGTTGAGTTTAGTACAAATTCAACCGCCGTTATAAATTCATTTTTTGGAATCTTCGTGTTTTTGTCTATGAGATTCCATCTTTTTATTAATCCCTCCAGTGCCATGATAAATTATATCAATAAGTTATAGTATAAAATATATTAAAGATTGGTAACATCATGATACAAATTAAACATTTCGGTCTACGAATCGTAAACGAATAAACGAGATATGATTGGTCAGAAACGATGAGTTTTCTATAGATACACCAATAAAAAGAGTCAAAATTTCACTGTTACAAGTCAACGTAGGACATAGATGGAGAAGAAGACATAATGTCATTCTAAAATAATCGCACAAGAGAGGTTTCACATCATTGCTTCGTAAAAGTCTCATTATTCTCGTTGTAAGAATGCATTCTTCGTTCCCATTTTGCGCCCGATAATGGCGCTCGCCGCACGAGAAGAGAGAGAGAGAGAGGCGAGGGTTTAACTTTTTGGTGTTTACGGTGGCACCCGATTTACGCTGCCGTAAACTAGGACATCCCGGGGCCGTACAACTTGGACAGATACGCGATAAAGTCTACTCGGGACCGGCTCCGCTTCACCCCGGGGTTATCAACACCCTCGGCCGAGGCCAGCTAACGGCTGGACGTTCAATTATTTATTTAGTCTATCTTATCTACAAGTGATGCGCGCACGAATCCGCCATCGTCGTGAGTCTCGTTCTCCCGACGAGGAGGAAACGAGGCGACTCAGGAGGCGCGAATCGAGAGACATTACTCAGACGGAATCGACTGCTCGGCACAAAGAGACCCAATTTTAATCCGATAAAAAAATCACGTTCCCACTCTATCGCGCCTCGACATTGGACAAGTTTGCGAAATCTTGTTTTATCTAGCAATCACGCACCGTGAATTAATAACGCAACTCTGCATATTTAATCTATCTGTTATTACGACGGAGTTAAGGATTCATGATTCACAGCAACGCCTGCGCCCTCCCACTGCTCCCAAAAAAAAGTGAGAAATTTTTTCTTGATAGCAGGTTGATCCGATCAGGCACAATCTCGTCCGTGACGCCGCGAACCACGATAGCGTGGCCTCGCGTCGGTCTCGTCGTGCACGAAGAAAGAGTATCGCTAACGACGTGGTTCGACCTGCACGTCCGGTAGTTCGCTCGTCCTCAAAACCCGTTTCGTCTCGCGAGCGAGCGGGTGATCGCTCGCCGGGGGGTCGGCCTTAACGATCCGTAGAGCGTGGCGGCTAACGTCATGCCCGTTTACACCCATAACTGTCGTTAGGCGCGAAAGCGTGGGTGATCCACCACGTGGGTCGGTCGGGCCTCGTCGTCGTCGTCGTCGTCGTCAGATCTCGTTCCGAGGCGCGCGTTCGCACACGTAGCCGCGTACGTACGTGAGAGACACGCGAGCGCGAACATGTAAGAGGATGATGAGAAGTTAATCTCGCGTGAGACGTCTTCTCCCGAGTTCGCCGAAGGCCAAGTCGGGAACGGCCGCGGAAAGATCGGGGATCGCCTCGCGACTCTCGTGCACCGAGATGAAGTTTCAATGGAGCCCGATCGCTTAACTTTATCCTGAACTTGGTCTATGAAAAAGCGGCACGGCACGCTCGCGTCAGATCCCCGACAGGCATGAATGGAGGGGCTGACGCCGAATTTTGCCTAGTATCGTAGACACGCTTGACACTGAGGCCGACACTAACGAGTTCGGCTTTCCAATCGCAACACACGTCACCGCTGACGTGCAACACCCGGTCAAGGAACGCCCCGGGAACAGATGTTTGCTTGGAGGTTCGCAACGTTTGAGAGGTTTCTTTCACGAATACGCGGAGACAAGAAAGAAATTGCGAAACAATGTGAAACTCTGACCGAGAGCAAACCGCGTTAGGAGTCGAATTCTCTGAAAGGCGGGCACCAGAAAAACGGATGTGGGAATGTCGGGGGGGAAAAAGAACGAAGATAATAGACTTTCTTACCATTTCGAGCAGAAAACTTTCTCGGAGTAGCGGCCCAGTTTAAAAAAAATATAAACAAGGGGCGCGTTAATGTACTCCTAAAACGTCCATTACGGTTGGAAATGATTGTCGTAAATATGCAACCAACAAAAAGTAACGAAGGGTAGTATGAAAACGCGCGTCGAAACTTGGGGAGGAAACTTATATAGAGGCAGATAAAAAGGAGCTGTATACGCGCGACGATACGTAACGAAGTGAGACTGGGTCGCGATCGAAGTTCCTTATCACAGGGAATTTTAAATGCCCGCTCGAAATCTCGTATAGGCCAGAATCAATCCTCTCTTACGGATGGAAAAGCAGCCAGTATGTTGGAAAAATCGTAAAAAAAAGAAGTCATATCGTACGTAAATCCCCATCGCAGATCTTACTAAGCGAAACGTTGGTGAACGGACTCGCTGAACAGGTCGCATCGATCGTTCATAAATTTTACGATGCATACGTGGGGTTCGCGGCACTAAGTAAAGCCAACTTTTCCGCGTCGTCGCTGAACTTGCGTCGTACGCGTTGCAATTTTGCGACTTTATGGATAACGATGAGGATCGCCTCTTGGAGTTTACGGGTGACACCGAGCAGCCGTGAAGGTAAATACCTCCGCACCCGGCGGAACGTCATAAAAGAAATGCGGTGGCACGCGCATCATAAATGGAACGCGCGGTTATATTTTGAGATTCGGTTCATACTTATTTTTAACGCCGCCACATTTGTCTCTCGACCCTAACGTCTCTCGAATCGTCATCTTTATCTGACGACAAACCGAAGGAAAAAGTAGAGGAAAGTCCTTTATTGTGAGATAGCAGGTTTTCAACGTGCAAATTCAATCACGAATCTCTTTTCGTAACGATTACATGATCTAACAATTAATTTCCCCACTAAACTTCACCTCTAACGCCAATAAGTCCACGGTGGAGCCAACAGATGATGCCAATTAATTTAGCAGAAACCCCGCTATTCCATATTAGGGACTTGTCTCATAATACGAGACTTTCCTCTACTTGCGATTTTCGTGATATCGTTCGTTCGATTAACGCTTTTGTTTAGATTCTTTATTTTTATATTCTTCTTTATATTCTAAATAATAATGGAATGTATTGTCTACATCTTTAGATAGAAAAATGCGTTATCTGCCTAACATTATTTTAGATAATGGCTGCATTCAGCACAACTCGGTATTTCTAAACGATTCGAACGTTATCTACGCTGTTTAGATTACATGTTCCAAGTAAAATGCGTGAAAGCGATATTGTGCAGATACACGGAGAAAAATGTTTTGATTTCGTACCAACAAGTATTCTGGTCGTACCAGACATAATTTCTTATCGTGATCGAATCTCTGATTACCTCGATATTGTACAACTAGAATATTTGACAGACTTAATTACAAGTGTCTAATTCGCAACCTTTCCGTTGGATCTATCACATATTCAACGATTATGCAACCAAAGTTGTTTCTGCGTAGGCGAAAGTAGCAGTTCTGCGATGTTTAAGGCGTCAATCAAGACTATGCACGTTTGGACAAATCCATTCTTTCTGTGTAAGTCAAATATATGGTAGCCGTTTATCTCTTATTCTTTTTCCTCGTCAATGTACCCAACCCGTTCTTACTTTCTCGCAAGCGCATGTTCGTACGGCGACAGCGGATCCGAAAGTTTCTGTAAATGATTTAACTGCACGTGAAGGCATAACGTTCCGAGGGTGGCTCGTGGCGAGGCTGTAAAAGCAAAGTTGCGGAATTTTATGTTGAAGAAGGAGAACCGGGAAATTTATACATGTTGTTTATGCCTCCAGGGAAGTGACCTGGAGCTCTTATGCGTCGTCACTTGGAGCCCGTTAAGACTAGGATGCCGCGCCGTTTCACTCGAGTTTCATGGCTCATTGTCCCGGGTCTTTACGTTGCGCCGCACCGCCCGTGATCCTTTGACTTTAAAACGCGATTAAAACACGCTCGGCGTAGCCCCCGCAGATTCGCAGAAACGTCGAAAGCACGAATTTCATTAACGTCTCTGACAGAGATCCGCGCCTTATAAATTACTGCGCTCAAGCTAGGTCGTAGCTTGTTGTCCACCGTAAAACGTAGGAAATGAATATGCCTTTCGTACCGTTCCTCAGCTCCTCTTTGCAGTAATTAGATAAAGCTTAACCGTGAACCGAATTACAACTTTGTATATTAAACGTTTTGCGAGTTAAAGGAAGATTGTTAACTGCAAGTCAATTCTGAAATATACATATTTGAGATAATGCATTCAACTATTTGCAAGAAAAAAAACTAGTAATACGCGTATCAAGTAATTTTTATAATGTTTCAGAGACTTTCAGCTTTTACTCCCGACGCAGATGCTACATTATTACAGCAACGTATGTATTCTACGATTACCTAATTTATGGCTTTCTCCAAAGTTTCGTCGAATGTGCCTCCGAATTGCGCCTCGCGACGGCAGTGACGTACTCTCATTATCGTTTGCGACGTTTCACGCAGCTGTCATAGGATGTATGACTAGCGCGACTTTCGCCGCGAGTTTTACGGCCCGTAAGAATTTACATGCACAAGATGCGCAACGGGGTGGGACGGTCGAGGGTGGATCCGCTCGTTCGCTTTATCGCTCCTTCCTTAGACGATAATGAGCAGCTCGTTCAAATATGCCGACCCATTATTTATTATCTTACGCATTTCTAAAATAAAGATTCCAAATAAATCGTCATTGCACGATACGCGTTTTCTCGCTCGGTATCTCTATCGAAACTCGTCGCTCTTGTCAGGTGAAGGGAAATATTCTTACACGCGAATACACACACGCAGCGCCGACAAGGCACATTAGCGCAACGCACAATAATCGCGACGTAAGCGGGCAATTATCGAAATTCCCTCAGGACGTATTTCCCTGCGACGGGAGAGATGTACCACGTTTGTCGTGCACGCAGTGTGTTCGAAGGAGCAAGTTT